ATGACGCTTCATTTAATTTTCGCCACCTGAACGCTTTCTTTTTATATATGCAAAATCCTGCAACTCTTTGATAACTCTCTCAAAGCTACTTGAATGCTTTGTTTAAAACGTACAAAATTTGTTATTTTCAAGCTTTCCGTGGAAGCGAAAAATCGGCCATAACATAGGCTTCCTGAAAGTTTTCTGTAGCTAGTTATCTACTGTCTCACAATTCTCTAATGGTTATCTCAATACTTCAAAACAACTTTTTGTTCAGCTTAACATAGCGTAGGATTTTTGACTGGGTATATGTAAAAAACAACTATAGTTGTTTCAACTACTGTTTGTTCATAGGCGCCTCCTGGAACTAGGAGAAATAGTTAAAATGTAGTCAAATTTACCATGCATTTTTTTGAGTGTATAATATCGTAAGCTTACTGTAACCTTACTGTAAACTTACATGACAACCTTACTGTAAACTTACCTTAAACTTACAACGAATTTAATATGTATGTTTACAGTGACCTTACCATGTAAGCTTGCAGTGGGCTTACCTTGTAAGGTTACTGTAGCCTTACTGTGTATAAGGTCACTGTATGCGGCGGACATTTTCAGTTTACCTTAAACTTACTGTAAGTTTACATTATATGTGGTACTGGCTCATTTTTGTTGCACATACTGTCGTCCAAAGTAAAAAGATACGTCCGTGTTATATATTTCAAATGCACCGACGTATCTTTTTACTTTAGACGAAAGCATAGAAGTGAATCTGAATTCAACTCGTTTTGAGTTTAAGTTTTTTCTGCGTTTATACATATAAACATGCATTTCTTTTCTGTCGGTAAATTTCTTTTTGTAACAGAACTATAGTAATCTATATAACACTAAACGTGTTTTAGTAGAATACACTGAAACTCTTCTCTCCTTGTGAGTTTCTACTGTTCTTCACATGCTTTGTGAAGAAAGTGAAGTAATAAATTAACGGATTTCCATAAATAAATCTTTTGACATGTAAGAGTTATTAGGGTCGTTGATTACGAATTTGAAATAGATTTTAGAAACTATTAAATGACAAATCCAATATGGAGGATAAATATATATATCTTACATATACGGACATATAGCTATCGCCCGTGTAGAAATCACCAACGTATGCCTAAAATGATTGTTAACCCAACATTGGTCCTACCTTGGAAGCCCCTGTTTATATATTCTAGACTAGTCCTAACTTGGACTTACTTAGAAAATCCAGTTAAGTGTTAAAAAATTTTGTATGAAAAAAAGTGATAGAATTTAGGATTTGTAAAATATTCTCAGATAATACGCACACTAAAAAAAAGTAGAATTTTTACCCCAAAATCGGTATAAAAATTAACTGCAACAAATTTTATCCTAGTTGGGGGCCCCACCGTCTATGTGAATTAGCATTGGTCAAAATTATCCACAACAAAATTTATCCAGCGTTTTCTCTGTGACTTATTTAATTAATTAATAATTATTTATATGGTTTTAATTTAATTTTTCTCTCCATGTGGTATTTAAGGGGAGGTTTCCATTGCGGAGGCCAAAATCAACACAAACTTTGACCATTTTTTTATGGGGAACGGTTATGACTTAGTGATATTTTTTTTTTAAAAAAGGTACATCCATCAACTTTTAAAACATATATTTCATTTTCAAAAAAATTTCAAAATGGCGATCAATATAGCGCTCCTAGTAAACAATGTTTTTTTAATTAGGGAAAAAGGTGGGCATTCTACACATCCTAAAGAATAGGTTATACCTATAAAATAGTTAAAAAGTTAAACAAATGACAAAATGGCGGACCCGAAGTTAATTGGTCAAATATTTTCTAACGTCCTGCTGGGCATTAACAATTATCAGCTAAATAAAAGAGATATTGTGAAGATTCTGGACATATCGCGGATACTTATATACCCTAACCGATTGATGTTGTTTATGAGAGAGAAAAACATTGCCATCTGGCGGATAGTTGGAAAATTAACGTAGCGCGAAATTCAAACTGCATGAAGGAAAAACTGTAAGTATAAAGAATTACTTGAAAATGTATTTACTTAAGAATGCATACTATTGCATTGAAAAAAACTTAATTAATGTTACAATGATCACAAATAATTTTTTTAATTTTAATTCTTTATACTTACAGTTTTTCCTTCATGCAGTTTGAATTTCGCGCTACGTTAATTTTCCAACTATCCCCCAGATGGCAATGTTTTTCTCTCTCATAAACAACATCAATCGGTTAGGGTATATAAGTATCCGCGATATGTACAGAATCTTCACAATATCTCTTTTATTTAGCTGATAATTGTTAATGCCCAGCAGGACGTTAGAAAATTTTTTTTTCTTTTTCTCCGTTTATTGTCGATGATTTTATATATATAACCCTTGATCCGAAGGGAAATAATAATGGTATTATATATAATAAAATATAATATATAAATATAACAAAAAATTTTATTATATTTTAGTTTTAATAATTAATTTTTTTAATCTTGACTGAGGTCTGATTTTTTGTATTTTTGAATATTGGTTAAATATTGGGCCAATATTGAAATTCGAGCCTTGGCATTGGTCTCTACACTCCCAGCCTTGGACCAATATTGGTAAAAATAACTGGTCCAATATTTAGCCAATATTCAGTATTGGCAATTTCCCACTGGGCTTCAGAACGTCGGTGAGTTCAAGACGCTGTAGAAACGATAATATATTCTTCGGATCAAAAAATCGCTTTACATCACACATATTCCACACATTGTATATAGCTTTCAAAAAATGCAAAAAAAAAATTTATTTTTTTTATTCCCGCAATAGGAACCTCTCCTTAAGCACAAAACTATTTGTTTGAGTGAACCAAAAAATTTGTAATAATGCATCATATATAAATACAAAAATCAAACAGGTTAAAAATTAAAATGCATTACACAATTAAAACCTTCAATAACTTTATCAAATCATAACGGATTTTTGCAAAACTTGCTACAGAAAGTATTTTGGAGTGATTGAATGTAATTATACAAAAATAAAAGTGAAATTTTTTAAATTCAAAATGGCGGACTTTCCTAAAACTTATTTTTAAAAATGATCAAATTTGCTAACCCTGAAACCCCCCGAGTAACAATTTTCGAGCGAATCCAATGAATTTTTTAATTCTCGTCCGCCATTTTGAATTTTGAAAAACTGACTTCAAATTGGTAATTAGCGACCCCAAAAACCGTAGAATACCAAATTTTATTAAGATCCTGAAAAACTTTTTTCAACAAACCATTTGGCAAAAAAATTGAAACACTCCTTCGAGAGTAGAACAGAGATTAAGTTTCTGCTTATTAATTACTAACGAGGATACGTATAGAAAGAAAAACTTTTTTCTATGTACTTTTATAATGTTAAAATAATAGTGTAATCAAATAAAAACAATTTTGTGTGGCTTTGATGTAAAAAAAAATTATTAAAAATACCGTTCGGATTTACCCCAGTTTTCCAATTTTCTTGGGTAAATACGAACGGTCTGATATTATTAATAAAATTTTACAGAAGGCAAAAATCAAATATAGTTTCTGTTCTAGTATTCATAACAAACAATTATAAATAATAAAATGAATTTTTAGCTTCTTTTTCTTCAAATACGAGACAAAATACTGAAAGAGTGTCATCTTTGATTTTCAATCTTTTTTGCAATACTTGTTATCTTTGTTTATGCTGTTGCTAATTAACAAACAAAAAATGGGATAATACTTAGAATCTCTTCAAGAGGATCTGAGGTAAAAATTCTCATATCGAACTTATTTTTAAAAATTTTAATTAAGCTGAAATAATTAGCGTTCGGATTTACCCCCCGTTCGGATTTACCCCGACTGACCCTATTTCTTTACATTTTATCTTTTTTATTTATTTATTTATTATCAATTTAACGTTTAATTTATATTTATCCAATTGAAATATTTGTGAACTTTGAAAAATTTCATGGGATCGAACCTCTGTTTTTAAACTACGAGTCGGGAGCTCTGACCACTGGACTACCCATCTTTGTGAGAGATTTAAACTAATTGTTCTCTTAAGGTACGAGCTGAGAGCGAAGTAAATTATTTGGTTGTTGTAACAAAATTTTAGTTTTTTAGAGCAAACTATTTTGTTGTGTTAACCAAATTTTGGTTGGAATTGAAAAATGTCAACCAAGTAATTTTGTTGGTCTAACCAAATGTTTGCTTGAGATAACTCTACGACTTTGTTTCAGCCAACAACATTTTATTGATATTTGCCTTTATGTATATCAAAGAATCGTGACATTCAATTTAGATGAAAAGAAATTAAATTATTTTTTTTGCTTTAACTTCTGAAAGTAAATAATTAGAGAGAAATTAAATGATTTATGAGTAAATAAAGTTTTTGTATTAAAAAAAATTTTTTACTCTACGAAGAAGCAAAAAGTTATTGAGTATGAAGATGATGACCTAGTTTATAATTATTTTGGAAAAAAATATAACAAAGAAATAAAGATTTAAAATGTTACATTCGCTTGTCAAAATCAATTGATGTGATATATCTTGTACAATAATATATGAATAACAATGAAACATACACCATATGTACGTAAGATTGACTAGAGAGGTAAATTATTTAAACTTAACACTTTTGAGTAAATTGAAGTGTTTCACTACGCCCCAATCTTCCCTACTCTACCTGTGGTAGATTTGTGATTGGGTTGCGTTGAAAACAATAATAAAAAAAAATATTAATTTGGTTACATACTAAGAGAATACCGCTTGGAGCTCCAACAATTGTTCATATGCATATACCGTACCTATAGTAGGGGTTGGTTCCTTCAGATCTCCACTCCCTGTCTTTTTCACCCTATGAGAGATGAGAACAGCGCCTCTAATGCGCACTGCGCATCGAGTTCATCACAAACGAATGAATCGCTCTGATATCCCATCGTTCTGCCTAGATAACAGTGTAATCAGATTTGCTCAAAACGTCTAATATCAAAGTTAATATCTAGTTAAGTTGGTATATGAAAAGCGTTTCTTTTCTTATACTCTTCTTTTTCACTATTGTTCTCATTTTTGAAAGCGTGCACGTGCAAATATTGTTTGACTTGCTTATTAATGTAGACTCAACTAATTATAATTATGTGTTGATTAATCGATGGTAAAGAGAATGATGAAGACTTTATTGAAGATTTTGAAAGTATCTAAGGAGGCGGAGTGAAAGAAGTTGGAGGAGAAGAAAGAAGGCGGAGGTTGAGAAAGAAGAGTAGGAGTAGATCCCTGAGGGCGACTTATTTTATTTGAGTCTGACACTTGGACGCGAACGCGCGCACACCGGAAGTACACTCGTGAAAGATTTTAAACTTATTACTTCTAGCATTCAATCAGTTACTTGCATAAATCAAGAGTCATCTGTCTTCGCAGGAGTTGAATCAGCAAATTGGAAAGTGTAGAAATTAATCAGGAGAATGTTGTCTTTCGTCATAAATAAAAAGAAAGGTCAAACCTTTATAGTTTTTATAAAAATGCATATATGCAAGTTACGACATTTCTACCCCAATAGTGTTTTGAAATGCAAATATGATGTTTCTAGATTCCCTGTCAATAATTGATTCAACTTTATTACAAATAGATTAGAAAAAATGATGGAGTCCGTTTAAGCAGACTGCAGTACGGTGAATCTTTAAGATGTTTATTAAAGATAAATAAATAACGGCAGGTATTCTTCAATAAAGTGGTTACAAGTTCGTTTAGCAGAAAATGTGAAATGTATTTCAGTGTTGCTTATCATCAATTTTATCATTACCGTCAATGTTTTAGTGAAAGCGAAGATAACACCAATGCAAAATTCAATTGTATTTTTTAAATATTTCTAGACACGAATTTTGAACAAGGTACCAAAGAATTTCACAAAGTTTAATCCTGAATTACAAAAGACTATTCACAAGTTAAGAATAAAAATATTGTGATGAAAGCAATGAACGTACATAACTTACGATTAAAAGTCGTGAAAATGCTTCTGGCAGAAGAAAGCTTAGTGGAAATAATTGATATTTGGTGCTTTGCTGGCAGTCGTAGCCGACTGTTTCTGGATTAATTTCAATATCTCTCGAAAGGACGGATGCACCCGCTGAATTACGCCAAGCCTCTCTCGAACTTGTCGAACGTCAAAGTCGGTACGCCGGTGCCTCTAGCAAGGAGAAGTACATACTCGACGCGTGCCAGTCCTCTGATCAGAGAGACCGCTCGGTTGTGTGATGCAAGTCTAAGAAGAGTATATAGGAGATTAAAAAAAGCAAGCAGAGGCGAAAGGAGAGAAGTGGAAATAGTGAAAAGGGGTAGAACGTCAGCAAGAATAAGCAGAGATATCTTGAACGAAGGGTCTTTCCATTTGGGTGTTAGGGGTACGCAGTCCCCTGGCCAAAACAAGGGGATGTTACAACGTCGACTTGTTTTTCAAAGTGGACAAACTGTGTATTGAGGAGGAGCGCCCACGAGGAGACAAGTTGAGGCAATGACAGAATGCCTCCGTTTCTATTCCAACGGCAAGTTCCAAAAGGACTAGAACAAACACATATCATTACCAATTACATTTCTGCCATTTTTCTAATTACAATCTTCTTTAATCATTATCGGTAAGTTTTTATTTTGCATAATTAATTACGCAATATTAGAATTTGTAATATGAGTCGTTACATTTGTAGTAATTGTAAAAAGTAACTTTGGTATAATTCATAAATATTGATATTTATTAAGCTAGCAAAACAATTTTCATTATTTAAGCAACATAATATAAGTATGGTGGATTCATTTAAATATCTAAGACAATCTATTTCATTAGTAATGCTCGCACCTAACGTTTTAGTAATCAATTACTTTTTCTTAGTTGAGAAAACTGATGCACAGTTTGTTAAATTATTAAAAAAAACTGCATAAAATAATTTATAACGGAACATCTAATATATTCATATACTCTATAGCTACGCGTCAATATTGGACTTAAAATATTCAAATGAATTCAATTGAATATGACGACTAACTATTCAATTAATTAGATGTGTCATTCAAGTAATTGAACTGGGAAATAATTTAAATATTAATTATCATGTTCAATTTATTAATAGCGCAGCGTAATTACATATGAACTGATTGAACGCTATTATATTCTGTCAAATTGGATTAAAATAAGAGCGTTGCATCTTATATTGATATGTCTCAATTATCTGAGTATTATTTAAATCCAATTTCAACTTAATTTAATCCAACTAAATTAATTCAGAAATTACAGTAGGATTCACGTATGGGTCTTGTAACTGGAATTGATTCGTGATTTTAATAAATTATTTTTGATTAATATTTTTTTAATTTTTGGCGTTTTGAATGATATACTGTCATTCTCAAATACGTAGTAAAATGACAAATCTTATACAAATTTTAATTATTATTTAATGCATTTTTCACGGACTTTTCAATAGCATTTTTTTAATTTTAATTAGAAAACTGAGTTCTCTTTCAATCAAATATGGAAAAAAGAAAGTGTTTATCAGGGGCCATACTTTAATTACGTAACGCTTTTTCTTTGAAATTTGAACCCCCCTCCCCCATGTAACAGATTTTTGTATACATTAGCGCCATTTTTTGCTGTGTGTAACAAACGTAATTAAAGTATGTTCCCTTAAACTTTTAAAAAAATGTTGGTCCACGGACAGAAATTTCTAGGAATATTTACCGTGCTGCCACCTGAAAGTGAGTGCAAAGTACACTGGAACCTCCAACCATTGTATCTCTGACCATTGCAGTTGTTTACCAAAACTTGGTGGGCAGCGGCAAGAAAAGTCAGAGGGGAAAAAATGGCGTCAGTCAAGAAAAAGCAGTAACGTCACAGTTACGTGTTCTTTTAGACCCAGTTTCTTTTTCCTTTTTTCTAATTTAAACAATCGATCGGAGTTATCGATATTATATCCCATACATAAGTATATAATATGTACGGCCCTAAGTGTTTCCACTTTTTGATATAACCTTGACGTCAAGGGTAAACTCCATCCATTGCACATAAGAATCGCGCGCTGCAATGGTTGGAGGTTCCAGTGTACATTCTGGCAGTTTTTACTGTGCTGCCCCTACAATTTTGCATTACAGATTGTAGGAGACAGCACAATAAAAACTGCCAGAATGTACTTTGCACTCATTTTCAGGTGGCAGCACGGTAAATATTCCTAGAAATTTCTCTTCGTGTTGGAAAACTCACACTGCAAATAATTGAAAATCTATAACAAACGATATAATCTTAGGGAAAATTGAATCGTGAATTTCGAAAAGAGCTCAACATGAAAAAGCATATGTGTCATTTTCACATAATAATCGATAGTGAAAATGACTTTTACGGTTTTACCTTACCTTACCTTTTCGAAATTTACGATTCAATTAAATTAAAGTGTTGAATATTCATACATAGATATATAAATGCCGAATCAGGAAAATATACGATCCTACGTCAGTTAAATTATAGAGTGCGCTAATGGAAAAATTGCCTTTGACTAAGACAAGAAAATAAGTCATATCATTGTCAATTTTTGTAAATCTAAGAAAGTAATGTCGTGTCTGACAATGCTCCAAATTCCCCTATTTAAAACCTCCTTCTATAGTGATTCATTCGAACGATGAACCGAGAAACGATCGAAATTCTTTTTTTTATTGTCGTTTTGACAACTGAACTGTCATTATGGATCGTTTGACAGAGCGATCTTCTCATCGAATCTAACGATCCAAACGAACAATCGAAACATTTTTTTATAATAATGTTTAAAATTATAAACAATAAAATTAAAGAATGTGTAGAAGTAATTTTCTTTTTCAAAATTTAAACTGAAGGAACAATATAATAATTAATTATTTTTTTTAGATTTCCCGCGTACACCATCTTTAAAGGTTTTTACGCATTCTATTTCCCACGTTTAACCCTACTTCTGTAAAACCCCAAAGTCCCTAAAGTTACGGTCCGTAGCCGACTTTTATTAGAAGTATTTGTATTTGCCTGACCCTTTCTTGATCAGAGTAGAGGGAAACTACGGAAAACCTCTACTGAGTACAGCCGGTTTATTGACTGTCGAGTCATGAATGTACCTACATTTAAATAGTCATCCAAATGCACAAACATATCCTCGTCGTCAAACCTCTCGCTTAGTATATCTCGTTTGCAGCGAAAACACCAGGGCTATGGCGGGTACCGAGGCGGTCACCCATAATTAATTAATAATAGAAAAATTTTGAAATAACAGAAAAAAATAGTTAATTTAAAAACACTTTTTTAACGTTTGAAATTATTATTTTCAAAAATATTAACTTTAAATAAAATAATTACCATATAATATATATTAGTCTTTAGCATAACATTAAACTTAAATTCTTAAAATTCATTTTTTAATATCGAGTAAATAATATTTACAAAATTCATATTCAAATGTAGAAATTATTCAATTTATAAATTGATCACTAAATAACGAGGTCAAGATTTTTATGTATGAACCCATGTGCGAAAACCAATATGGGCCAATATCGGCCCAGCATTGTCAAATCGGGCACCAAGTCTTGGCAGACAATATTGGGCCAATCTTGGCTGACATTAGTGGCCCAGTATTGTCAAAGTTTAAAAAAGTTTAAAAAATTATAATAATTAATTAATTAACTAATTAATTCATTATACATTTATAATTCAAGTCCTGACAGAAAGCACAATTGTTTAAACATTTGAAAATTTGTAACGCTCGCGGGAACCGAACTCGCAACCTAACGCACCGAAGTCTAACATGCTAACCACTACACTATACGCGGATATGAGAATCTCAACACAAAAATGTTTTGATAAGCTGCATTTGAGGAACATTTCAGCCGTTAAAGCGCCATTACTGGGTCAAGATTCGTTTCAACTTTGGAAAAAATGACTTGTCAAAATAAATTCAACATTTCAGCCCAATTATGGCAAATTGGAGTAACTGAGATGCAGTGCCAATATTGGCCTAGTAATGGGACAGAGAAGGCCCAATAATGGCAAATTAGAATAATCGAGAAACGGTGCCAATATTGTCCCAATAATGGGACGGAGTTCGACCCAATTATGTCAAATTGGAGTAACTGAGACGCATTGCCAATATTGGCTCAGGAATGGGACAGAGTTCGGCCCAATAATGGCAAATTAGAGTAACCGAGAATTGGTGCCAATATTGGCCCAATAATGGAACGAATTGATCACCAGTACTGGTCCAGTAACGTTTGCCATACTTCGGCAGACATTACTGGGCCAATGTTGGGCCGTATTGTCAGTCTTGGCATTTCGCACATGGGAATGCATTTGAAAACTCGCCTTTTTCAAATAGGAGAGACCGGGGCTGAAAGTGCCGGGGGTAAATTATGCCGATAGGAATATCTCAAAAACAAATTTATTTTTTTGAAAAGTGGAAGTCAGAGAAGTATTGTTTTACTTATGCGCATCTTTGGCAACTATTTTGATTTTGTTTGCTTTACGGAATAATTGAGAGGCTGATAGTAAAAATGATTTAAAATAACATTGGGAGCAAAAGTGGGATAAGTGACTTGGGAGCAAAAACGAGTTAAAATGATTCGTGTAATTTATTGATAAATTCATTATATTATCGATTAAAAAATATTAATTATAATAAAATATGCATTTTTTCCTATTGTTAATATTTTTTAATCGATAATATAATGAATTTATCAATAAATTACACGAATCATTTTAACCGGTTTTTGCTCCCAAGTCACTTATCCCACTTTTGCTCCCAATGTTATTTTAAACCATTTTTACTATCAGCCCCTCAATTAGCTGTTAGTAATTTGGTGCTTTGGCGTCACTTACGTGCAAGTTTTCATGTTTTCAATTTTTGGTCTATTTTTTGCATTTTTAAAGATACGATACGTATTTTTTTAAAAATGATCCAAATTTATCGAGGGATTCAATGGTGTTTTCACAGAAAATTAAAAGGCATTAAAATAAGCTGCAACGCTTCTTATTTTAATCCAATTTTGCTTATTTTAATACCAAAATGGATTAAAATAAGCAAAATTGGATTAAAATAAGAAGCGTTGCAGCTTATTTTAATGCCTTTTAATTTTCTGTGTTGATCTTAACATTTAATTTATCTAGTTTTTAAATATTTGATAAAAAGTGAGCGTCGACGCAACGAGGTTAATTGTGCCTTTCGCTTGGGGCTAGTTGTGCCGCTGTCAATCGCTACATAACCATAATCTACTATTGCCTTGTTTTTTCGAATTGTTATTCCAACCCGAAATCAAAAGAAAAGTTGATTCAATGCATAGTTGGTAAAAACTGGGTACATTTAAAATGTGTGAAGGGTAAAGAAAGGGTCAATTGTAATTTCAATAAATCGCATTCGGAATAAGTATTCACGTTTTAAAAATATTTATTAATCAGAAAGTAGAGTTTTACCAATTAATTAACGATACAAATAATTATTTCAAAAAATATTTTAAAAGACTGACTAATTATGTAATTGTAAAATTTAAGTCAGAAATGTTTATTTATTTACAAAAATCTATAAATGCTACGATTGTTGGAAAAATCATTTGAATGTTTATATGAGTAGTACAATAGGCCCTC